TAGTAGACAGTTCTTTTTCATCATGACCGCGGAAAGCTAGACCTTGTCTAGATAAATATAATACAATATCTATTAATATTTTCAAATATTCACGGTTTATAGAAATTTGTTCTCGGTTTGCAGTTTCTAAGCTAGTGTGAACAGAACCTGACTTTTTTGTTTGTTTAAGAGCAAACCATTTTGCTGAACATACCAAATGGTGATTAGAACTGCCATGAAGTTGTAATTTTGATTTTGATCCTTTCCCTTTAGAGCCACTAAGCTGTAAATAAAAATAATTAATGTCTATATTTACCTACTAATAACTGTTCACAAATGACTAGGCTACCTATATACAAATATATAATACAGTATGAAAAAATGTACACTCTATTACACCACCTATGTAAAAATAAAAAGTTTAAAAGCATCAGATTTTTAGAAATATTCTCCTCTTTAAATTTAACTATGGTTTGAATTAAATAATCAAAGTTTTAATTTAAATTCTGTAGGTAAAATGTTAAACCTACATACTTTACCTGCCTATAAGTTTCAAATTATAATTTATATCATATATTCATATGATGGAAGTCACAAGAACCAGATGTAATCTTTTACACATTTCAAAATTAATACAATAATAAACTTAGTTTAAATTTTAAAAACAGTTTAAAATTTACCTTTTTCCAATTGTTGAATCCTATTTTGACAAATGTATCCTCATATAAATGATTTTATAGGTATGTACACATGTACAATATTTACTTAAAACCATATTATATATTAAGATCATTATTATAGTATACAATATTATGTACTTACACGTTTTGTTATGCAGCTCTCCAAACTATTAACTTAGGCACGTGATTACGTATAACAGTCGTGTAATTATTAACTTTTAAAACTTAAAATTATAATAAACATGACGTAGGTATATATATACTATATAGCCATATGCCCATATGGTGTGTAGCCGTGTAGGTCTCAAGTTCAGTATTTGATCCGAATATCTTGTGTAATGGTGTATTAATATTAAATATTCATGTGACAATATTATACTCTTTTCAGAATAAGAACGCACCAGATTTACGTAACAAAACCGGTTTTGTCCGTGGCCGCCTGGTTCCTTCTTATTCTGAAAAGAGTATAGTGTGTTGCAACTTGCAGCAGTACATACTGCATAGTGCATAACCATAGACAAGAATACTAACTAACTGAATTTCTGCATAGTGCATACGCTACGCTCGCCGGTACCGCGGTCTGCGCCCTGTGTGGCTGTGTTAGTTGTTTTCTGTATTGTCATTTGTCACTTTATCTATAGGAATGGGTTGGGGCGCGAGGAGTGAGGACTGCGGTCGCGGCTAATTCACTGATAAACTGAACCGTTGGTAGTTAATAGCTTAGATCATATACTATGGATGGAGCCACTGCATATTATTTTGAAGCCGATATTAGCGACGAGTCACCGAATTAGGTGATCGATATGCGCATGCGCGAAACAACTCGTTTAATATTAATATTATAACTGTCCCCATCCCAGCCGAGTCACCGAATTAGGTGTTCGATATGCGCATGTGCAACGCAACCTCTCGCATATTTATCAGCTGGTGATTATAATATTAATATTAAACGAGTTGTTTCGCGCATGCGCATATCGATCACCTAATTCGGTGACTCGTCGCTAATATCGGCTTCAACTTTTTGTATTGCTATAATACGCAGTGGCTCCATCCATAGTATATGATCTAAGGTTAATAGTTACATAGCACATAATTTGACGGAATTACCCCTCAGCCGTCAGGGTTTTTATTTTTATTCTATTTGACACTTTGGTCGGTACTGGTGGGTGGGCAAATCGGCAATAGACCGAAATAGTAAATACTAAATACTCAATATTGTGTTTGTGACTTGTGTTACTAAGTAATGAACGTCATGTTCGTTTTATAGAACAATATTCGTACGAACATTCTAATCCAGTGGCGTACTTAGAAATTCGGTTGGGGGGGGGGGGGGGTCGGGGGATATACGTTTTTAGCAAACATGATGAATGGTCATTATCAAATCTGTTGTAAATATTGATTTTTCATTTTCATTTTTACTCAAAAACGTCGTGATAAATCACCATGTAATTAATTAATCTTTAATATACTTCATAAATGTTATCTTTACGAGCATATTCAGTTTAAGTCTAATATGGGACCAGTGGCGTATTTAGGAATTTGTCATGGGGAGGGTCCAGATAATTTTCAGAACACAGAGCCACGGGTGACGAAGCCCCACACACCGCCCATTTACTCTTTATTAAATAAAATATACCATATTTATAAGACGATATAAAATTGTCGAGTTTTTAATTATTGAATAATAATATGTACAAAACAAATTTAAAAAGAAGCGGGTAAGTGGATGTCACTCTGCTGCTGTACAGTAGGTTACAAGTGGGTCAATGTATAATGGATTGCATTAAACTTGAACTCAATGATATAATATCATAATATCATTGTAGAAGAAAAATGATTCTGAGCGAAGACGATTTGTCAGTCTGGATATTTTATATTGTTATTATTTATTATAGCCTGTAAGTTGAATTAATAATGAAATACTTTTATTTTTTTCTATGTTGATAGACAAAGTGTTAGAAATTAAAATCCCATTTTTAGTGGTTTTTCGTAATTTTTTGGTGGTTTTTACAGTGGCATTAAATAACTATTGAGAAAAATGACCTCTCTAAAGTACTATCTTGATCCAATTTTCTAAAAGATAAGTTACCTACTATATGTCTATACATGTTGAAATCGAAGCACTCCTTCTGGAAGAAATTTTGTATACAGGAAAAAAAATAAACACCATTGTAGAACCAGAACCAATAGATCCCTCAGAATCGAATATATAGTTATATGTTATAACTTTTATACAAATATTTTCTTAATTACATTAGGTACCTACTTCATTCATAGTTGATCTTAGATAGCTTTTTAACCTTAAAAAGGTTGAAAAAGATCTCTCTGGAGTGGTTGTATAGATACTGGCAATGTACAAAACTACAAAATATTTGAATTAAAAATGAATTTGGTATTTTTCAACCATTTTCGGTACCTACCCAACTGATAAAAATAATCACGATATTTATTGAAAATGTTGATATAACTATAGCTTCGAAAATTTTTTATAAAATCCGTAAAATCGTATGATAAAATTTGTTTTTTATTCATGTAAAAACTGCACAACATTTAACATGTACGAGACACGAGTCAATGGGGGGGGGGTCCGGACCCCATGGACCCCCCCACCCGTAAATACGCCACTGTATGGGACCACTGGACCAGACCATACCTGCACTTACCGGTTAATTATTCAAATAATGAATCGTTATATGTACCTACCTAAGATTGTTTATTTAAGTTCAATAAGTTGACATGTATGGCGTAGAGTCTAGGAGAATAATAATGAATAATAAACTAACAATCTTATATTATGCTTACCTAGTTACCTGCAACTACCTAAACACATAAGTAATACCACTGCCTAATAAATATACTAAGTGAAGTAGTACACAATATGATTGGAAATATATTAAAAAAATTTCGGTAAATAAAAAAAAAAAATACGGCCTCAGTTGTGAAATTGTATTTGTATTTTATATTATACTAGCTGGTGTTACCCCGGCTTCGCCTGGGTTGCGACCATACGAATATTTCACTTTGAATTTTTTTTTCTTAATAAATTAAGAATTCAGTTTGGTAATGTTATTTTTTTTTTATTTTCTTAATAAAATTTTCGGTGGTTTTAAAACTACTATAAAAATGAAAATGATGAATGGTAAATATAAACCAGTCGATGTAGATAACAGTTGTATTGTTCCTTACTCTCCACTTGTTTCAAAAATAATGAAAGCACATATCAATCTTGAATCATGTAGTTCAGTCGTTGCAATAAAATACATATTGAAATACATTCACAAAGGGAGTAATCAAGCAATGTTTACAATCGAAAATAAAAAAGATGAAATTGAAGACTATCAATCTGGAAGATACATAAATAGTAAACCCAGAATGTTTTTATCTACGAATATTATTACATAATGTACGTGGTCCAACATCATTTAAAAACTTAAAAAGTGTTGATGGTATTGAATATGATACATACAGAGAAGCATGTCAAAAACTTGGAAGTTGGAGTACTCAAATACACTATTGGAAAACTTAATTCAAGCCTTTTCTGATGGTATAGGTACCTTATATACCTTATACCCATTTAAATAATCCACCATACCAAAGAACACCATAAACTAAATCAAAACAACAAAAAATCTTGTTTTTGACACTCTTCTCTTATTCTGCAATAATTATTCATTAACTTTTCCTATATTAATCTTATTTTTTTGTTCTTCGATATCGTTCTTATCATGCCTTCTTTTCATTTTTGTATTTTTTATTTTGCTCGTAGTGGCTTCAGTGGCGTAATTTGGAATTAGTTCTGGGGTGGGATATACATTTATATTATCGTTCTAGTGGGGCAGGCTATACCTATTATTATAGTAATATATGATATTAAAAATTTAAATATTTTTAAATTCGGCGGCCAGTGATAAATGTTATTTGTTGTTTATTCCAAGCCAAACTGATATGATAATTTCATCCATGAAAGTGATATAAACCGTTTTTTTTCTAGTGATATAAACCGTTTTTATTTACTGTCTGGTTGTTTTGTGGTGTTTTTTATGTTTTTCTTATCAAGTGTTATCTACTTGTTAATACATCCGAAATATTAGTGTTAGTGTGTAAAATAAATTTTATGTTGTTATACGTCTGTTCACTAATTATACACTATACGGTTTACAGCCTTGCAATTTGCAGGGTTATATTAATTAAATACTTCAATATTCGATCTACGTAGTACCTATCTAAAGTTTTCATTCTTAACTATTACATCTGTACCTATCTGTGATTTGTGTACTTGTGTACAGTACCCGGAGACTTGAACTGTATTACTAAGAAGTACCTACCTATTTTTGTGGTAAAATGGTAAGCATTATATTTGAAACATTAATTTATTATAATATAAAAATTGTGTAATTACTTTTTATTATTTCTTAACATTTTATAAAAACGAAAAATTTATAAAATAAATAAACATGCAGTATTATGGCATTTCGCATATTGTGCAAACATTTTTGCAATATGGTATATTGCCATAAGCCATATGCCATTAGCCAAATAATAAAATTCAGTTTTAAAATGAAATAAATTTCATAAATTTTCTGCCTGACCCATGTTAAGTCAAACTTTAAACTAATAGTCATAGGTAATATTTATTAACATATTATGATAAGTATAGTTACTTTTGGAATGCTACAGGATTTAGTATATATATTTTTTAAAAATTCCATGCTTGTCCTTTTAGATCAGGAATCTCATACTTATAAAATAAAAATTTGAATCTAGAACGTTTCCCCCCCCCCCCGTGCCTTTTCCCACTGATGCAATGGACTTCCCCCCCCCCCGAACGGGACAATTTCCCCCCAGATAAAAAAAAATAAATATTAAACAATAATAATAGGTATACAATGCAAATAAATAAAGATACAAATGATTAAATTAATATATAAATATAATTATAATTCTATTTTCATTGTCGTATAATTAAAATGACTGAAAATTTTCACCTCCCATTGTTTCCCATATACCAGTTACCTTCAACTCATTTACTGGTACTAAGGGTGGATAAGATGCATTTTTAATTCTTCTTAAACTTCTTTTTACACTGTTTTAGTCTGGCATTAACAACTTTGCTTCGTTATATAAATTTATTATAGCTTTGGAAAATATAATAGAAGGCGGCTCAGAATGATTTTTTTTCATTATTTCTCATTGACGATATCGTTTTTATTACCTCAACTTCAACTGGACAGGCTCTATGGTTATTATGGTCTATAACTTTAATACTGTCATCGGTTGTAACACTTCCTTGACAACTATTTTCATTATTTTTAGATTTTTTTATACAATTTCAACGTATCCCCAATTTAACATGTTTTTGTTTAACATATACAACATTTTGAAATATGATTTTTTTACCACATCTTTTTGTTTCAATTATTTCTATTATATCCATTATAAAATGCACAAGAACGAACTGTTTACGCACAATGTTACAAACTATACTAACTACTAAGAGAAATAAAAGCAAAAAATGTTGTTAATAGTTTAGATAATTTGGGGTAAGTTTATCAATCATTACCCATTAAATTGGGTATAAATAAATAATGTGAATGATGATAATCGATAGATATATGATATTATATTATGATGATCGTATATTTCAGGTTAATCCAAAGAACCTATTTTCAAACCTATTATTATGTGTAATAAAAATATATATTGAGTCGAGGGAAACGTCTCAGTCTGGGGACGAGACGGTACCTAAAAATTCACCTAAGTTCCTACTAATTAAATATATTTATTTATGATGTTATGCTATTTCATTATTTTGTGTTTACAGGGTACTAAAGTGTGTGATATTGGAGATGATGTTAAGGAAACATTGAGAAAGTTTCGGTTCCGTAAAACAACAAAAAATGCTGCTCTTATAAGTTAGCCATTTTCAATATCAATATACATTTTTAATTTTAAAGATTAATCTTATTTTGTTTTGTAATTTGTAAATAGTGAAAGTAGATAGAGAAAAACAGCAAGTATGTGTAGATGAAATGTTGGACGATGTTACTCTTGACGAACTAAGAGAAATTTTACCTGGTCATCAGCCACGTTATATTATTTACTGCTGTAAAATGGAACATGAAGATGGGCGAGTGTCATTCCCGATGTGCTTCATTTATTTCACCCCAAGAGGTATTTTATAATAGTTTTTAATGAAATGTATTATCTTGGTACCAATTGTTATTTATTTTTAGATAGTCATATGGAATTACAAATAATGTATGCAGGCACTAAAATGGCCTTACAACGTGAAGCCAACTTGACTAGGGTGTATGAAGTGAGAGAATTGGATGAAATGACCGATGAGTGGTTACAAGACTGTGTTATGGGAAAGTAATAATTTGTATACATATAAAATGGTTTATAAATGACATGAAATAGATTTTAAAATTAGTATACAGTTTTAAAAAGATACCATAAACTAATTTAAAACAAATATTGACCCATATTTATTTTAAATGATCTACACACTTTTAGATATTAAAATAGATAGAACCAAGTACTATAGACCACTAAATAAAATTTTACTGTTCTATGTCCATTGCAATTTTTTTTTTATAATGTTTGTACCACATAAAAATATTTTATACATTAATTATTGACTACCATTTTAGGTTTTTATATTATTGTTCTTTAATCTCTGGGGCATATTTAAAATATTTTGACCACTATAAACATTCCTTTTGAATTTGCACTTGTGTGTACTATGATAAAGTATTTTTTTAAATTGTATATCATAATTTTTTTTACACAAAAATCAACAAACCCCTGTTTTAATATAAATACTATATTTTCAATAATTTAGATTATCTAAATTATAAATGTGTTTTTTTTACTTTACTATATTTATAAATAATTTATACTTACAATTATACAAACTATTTGTACAATTATACATAATTGTATTATTAATACAGATGATTTTTAAGTGGATTTATATTTTAGAAGACATATTATTTGCTGTTAAATTAATCAATGTTCATATATTTATTATGATAAATATATATTATTTATTCAATTTTTTTTTGTTAAAAAATACATTTTTAAGTTTGTTAAACTATATTTTTAAGATGTCTGTAGTGTAATCTCTTCTTCGAAAATTACACTTACTAATAGTTTATAATAAAGGTAAAGAATGTCACTTTTTTATAATAAATGATTAACCGTGTTTTATATTATTGGTTATAGTTTACTAGAAATATTTTTCCCTAGTGTAAATATACATTTAAAAAGAAACTAGGTATATTCTTAAAAAAAATGTTTTTTAACTTTCACCAACACTATTTTGCCAAGTTTCACAACCATAATCACATTTATTTTTAGAATGTTGGTTATGTCGGTTCTTATTCATTGGATCAGTTACCAGACATTTGTGATATTAATTCATTAGTCAGTGTGTATTAATTATAACAACTGTTTAATATACACAATTCACAGTTCTTGGTTAATTACCAATTTATCAGCTAAATCATGTTAGAAGGACCATTTGGGAAAATTTGGATAACAAAATTAATAAATAATGATTTTAAGATACTTGAAAAATAATATTGATTAATGATCACTCAATAAGTATATATTATCTTTATTTATAAATTAATAACAAAATGCAGTGTGATCTTCATGTACAAATATGCTTATTATATAAGACAAATAAATAATGGGTTTTAAAATTTTACAAAAATGTAATAGTTAAGTGTATCTATTGTAATGACAGCTGTAATACCGATAAAATGTACTAGCTATGTATAAGCATTTCTTATAAGTTATAACTTAATTCATATTTTTAATTTTTTTTTTTTAATTTTATATCTTTATGAGACCAACTAATTGAAAATATATTTTATAATCATAAAAAAATATCATTAAAATATAAAAACATAATAATAATAAAACTTTTAAAGTTATATAATTAAAAATGATGGTCTTATATTAATATTAAAATTTTTGAAGTAGAGTTTATGTATTTACTAATATTGTACTTGTGTCTTTATGTATCAATGCACTAAATATAAAAAAAATTTAATTTTAATCTATATAACATATTAAATTAGCAAACTGGTACATTTTATTACTTACGAAATTACAGTACTTTTAAAGCTTTATTAATACAAAATTGAAAATATAATAACTAAAATGACAAAATATTAAATAAATATAATGACTTATTAATAAAAATGTACAAACCATATGAATACATATCACTAAGAGTGACTTTTAACATTTATTATGTTTAATTATTAATTATACACTTAAAATAAATTGTAATAAGTTACATTCTAAACAAAAATGCGAACACATTAATAGGTAGATATTGTATTATATATTTATATACATATACACACATACCTTTGTATTATAAGTATACTGTGTATGCAAAGGAATATTTTATATTGTGTTTCTATAAAACAAACTACAAGTCTCAAGTATGATTAGAGGTACTTAGAAGTAATGTTTCTTCTGTAACGAATATAGAGTCTCAAATTGTTTTGGGCAACGTCCGGTTCGAGAAGAGTAAATGCCATATTCACACATTGGCAGCACACACTGACCCGATGTAATGCAGCTGTTGAAAAAAAAAACAATGTTTAAAGTTGTTAAAACTTTTCGATTGAATTATGATTGATTTTGGTAAATAATTTTCTGCAATTTAATGACAATTAAACATTTTATATACTTATTATACGATAGCTAATATACCAATAGAGTTAATATAGTGGCTATAGTAAATGAAATGTGTGTAGAATAAACATTACTTACTATCTATCTAGATGATTAAAATACACGTTGCCTTTCTTATATCGGATGCACTCTCGTTGTTTGTCGAAACAGTCACACGAACATGAACCGTTGGTTGAATAACGTACAGTGTATTCCGTGGGACACTTGCAACTATATTTTACAACAACAATTATTCAATTATTGACTATTATATATTAGGTAATTGACACACACTTAAGTGAACTTAGGGTATACACCTATATCCATTAGCCACTACCCCAATCGGTTTTCAGTTTAACAATTGGATTTATTTCTTTGTTTAGTATTTTTAGTTACCAATATAGGTACATCAGTTAACTAAAGCATTTTTCATACATTTTCAATTTCTAAGAACAAAAGTTATGAGAAGATCTGTAAAATACCCATAGGCGCTCATAGTGGAAGGGGTGCTAAACAAGTAACAACACAACGTCTCATATAGAACCCCCAGTTTAATTGGGTCAAATCTTTCAGAATATATATTTTATATTGTAAACAATGACTCCTATGAAGTTTTATATTATTCTTAATTTTTATTTATTAAATTTTGACTTTGACATTCAGAAATAATTTATAAATTATTCTGTTTAAATACCTATCTAATAATACTCGTCAAAATATTACTTATTAAACTTCTTTGTTAGCATAGGTAATTAAATAAAAAAAAAATTAATAGGTACTTATAAGTTCAGTGTTGAACTTATCTAGATAAATATTCTTTTATCTTATCTAGATAGGTAAATAGAAAATATTAATTTACACAGTTATCTAAGATAAAAATCACAGTTACCTAGATAAATTTTTCCAGATAATTTAATTTATTAAACGGATTTAATTTATTATAGAATATAGGTAGACAATTAAGTAATTTGTTAAGTAGGTAGTATTTACTAATAACTATCGACGTTTCGATAACATACTATCAAGTTATTCTATTTTGCTACGAGCTTACGGAGAGTGCCGTAAAAAAATATAAAAAAAATTTATCCCATAATTTATTTAGATAAAATAATTTGTTTGTATCTTTATCTATATAAAATTATATTTATCTTGGCTCAACAATGCTTATAATCATCTGTGCATAATAGGTACATATAATAATATATATTTATAATTTATACGTTGACTTATCTTTTATATTTTATACTCCATAAAAGTTATTGTGTTTCAAAAATTTCAACGAAAATACCAGCATCAATACATTCCTAGTTTCGCTAAAAATCTTAAAAATGATAGTGTAGGTACCTATAATATGTGAATAATGTATAATCTTACTGTTTTTGGAACTTTGGCTGATGTCTGGATGACCAAATTAAGAATTCGGAATTATTATAGGGTACAAGTGACAAACGTCTTACAAATTACAAAGTATAAATGGAAAATCGCAAAATGCATTTATCACTGTGGTAATTTGTAGATACTATTTTAATGAGCATGATTTTATTTTTTTGTTTTTCTTACCAACATAATATGTGGCCATAAACCACATTATGAACAATTTATGTGAAATATAAATATATGTTCTAACTTCTAACACCAAACACTAAAAACAGGTCCGTAAACCCCTACCCCCCTAAAATCTTACACCCGGGGATCAATCCCCCCCTAGTTCCCTTTAGACCTATGGTCTGAAAATCGTGCCACCCTTCAAAATTTAACTCTCACTACACCTGTGAGAATAGGTTTTTGTATCATACATATTATCTATAATAATATATTATAAGTTATTAATGTGATACAATTTTTGATTTACCTGTTCTGATTATTTTTTTCGGGTCTGTGCCTGAACGGCAGCGGCGGATCTGGGTTTACCACGGAAACAGTTGGCATCGTGTCTCTGGGCATCAAGTCGTCCGTTCTTGACTGGCACTCGCATTCTGTATGGTTGTAAAAAAGTAACGATTTCTGGATTGACGATTGTTCAGGCGACTTCCAGTCTCCCAGTCCGGGTAATGTCTGCGTAAGAAATCAAATAAATAATAAGTATAAGGATGCGCAGACTCGATTAATATGACTGCTGTCGCTTAAGTCTTGCCTAATGGCTAATTGAACTTTGAAGATCATCCAAATTTAGATATGTACCTATACGCCCGGTATATTGGCGGAGATTTAGTGACTTAGAAAATTAGGGGGTGGGCTTGGAATCGTTTATAAAATTAAGTACAAACCAAATTTGCACAACCACATATTTCTCTATAAAAGTGTTTTTAATAAAAAATTATAGGTAAAACAATATTTACATTTCATAATATTCAAACATTGTAAGATACAAAAACTAATAAAACTATTACTTTTTATGAGTAAGAAACTCGCGTGAATGGGTAGGTACTTAATTCTAAATATGCAATTTTAATCTCGTTTTATCCTGCGACTATCCCGTTACACCTGATACATTTAGAAGCCCTTCTTACAATATTATTTCAGTGGCTTAATAATAATCGTCTTATGCGTGTGGTCGATGGCTCGTGCTCGCTTTTAAATGTTTATTATATAATTGTGCGGCCATTGGCAAAAAACGCCATGTGAAAAATTTAAAATATATAGGTACCATTATTATTAATTAGATACCTATTTTAAATGTTATGCCATACAGCATAGCCAGCCTTCCAAACTGACAGGTTACATAATAAAAAAAATAATAATATATCGCCTATGGACAGACATACCACATACATGCGAGTGTGTGACCGTGACATAACGAAAGATTTATTTGATCGCTCCACCCTATTTATTGTGTATAATATAATATACAATATGCGTGTACTATATATACGTGAAAACGTCTATACATAAGGAAACGGAATTATCGTACCAATACTAGGGGGGCTCCTGGATGGAGACGGACTTCGCATCAGTCGTCGGATCGGAGAAAGTCCTACTACATACAATTGTAACGATCACGCGCCGATTTTAATTTTTTCACGCACAATACGCCGCCGTGGTCCTTCCGCGGGTGACGTTTCTATTATTTCATCTCGTTATCCCTACCACACGTCCTCCACATCAACGTCGAAATGTACGCCTCGTGCGATTAACAATCGATGCATCGAACGAACACACTGCAATATTATAATATTATACGACACACATATTACATTATAATAATATTTAATGTCACCGGCGCGCACAAAAGGACCCTCAAACCCATTAAGATAAATAATATTATAATATTTATAAGGATCGAGGGGATTCATCCGATAAATTGGTAGGTACTCCGATACATACATTTATATTATTATTTTGATCGTTGGGACTGGTAAATCTGTCGTCGTCGTGGTAGGTAGCTAAATACACACACATAATATAATATATATTAATATATTATATTGCAGGCGCGCATCTGTCTCGTTTTTATTGTCGATCGTCGCCGCCCGGTGACCGTCGAGATTTCTGGTTCCTCGATGATTTTAGTTAGATTTCGCAGTTCAAAACGACAAGAGAGGGTGATCAAATATGTATTTAAAGTCCCCGAAGCCTGACTGTGATTGAAATTTGAAACGTGGTCGAACAGTAAATACTGTAGTAGTGAGCAAACATTTTAAAATGTTTAAATACCGCCCTTTCGGTGTATTGTATTATTATTATTATTATTTGTAAATTACAATATTGTTATAATATTATGGATTAAATAACTTGATCGACATGTGTGGCGATACCATGTTTTCAAAATATTATGTATAAGACTGAACTATGAATGATGATGTCTCGATTAAACACGCGTATACTTGTATAAGATATATAGGTAAACTTAATCACGATATGTTTACACGAATTGAACTCATTATTATTACATATTACTTATTATTAGGTAATTTTAGTATATATACTGTTCCCAAATAGTGAAAAAAAAACATATAGTTACATGCAATAATAACACGACGTGTCATGTCAATTTATAATAACTAACATAATATTATTTTAATACTGATATTATATAATATAATTATAATAAATTTTCGAATTTAAGTTAGAGGATTCGTAAGACTCTAAAATATACCGAATGTATTCAATACAACCTATATTGAGTAATTGTATATACATCCGAATGTAGATTTGTATAATTGATATTGATATTCCCAATTACCTTGAACTACTCTTTGCTTAAATATAGTCGTTTTATTTATTTGTGTACTTGTAACCAAAATTAATGTCCACATTATTTATTATCGCGTATTACCATAGGCGCAAATAACCCAAAAATATTAGGCGAGCTTAAGCACCCAAAACGTTTTAGAGGAAGTAGAGCCTTGTGGCAGGGGCGTAATTAAGGAGGGGATGGGGGATAGCTTTAACCTTCCTCACACTCTTCTTATATTCATACTTCTCCTTATATAAACGTTACATATATGATATCTCTATTAAAAAAATAATATAAATTAAAGATTTAATATTTAAACCAATATTGGGCGAATTTGTAGGAAAGTTAATTCTTTTTGGCTTATTTTATTATAAATATAACTTTCTTCAAAAAAATTTGAATTAGGGACAAGATCCACACGAGATTCGGGGTGCTAGCATTAAAATGCTCCCTTATGATTTACGCCAATACGTATTACTAACCAATAAGTAATATTTAAAGTGTTAAAGATTGTACCTTCTACAATTACAACAAATTCTCGATTAGCTACAAGAAATTTTCAAAAAAAATTTTTTTTTTTTTTGATAGTTCAAATAGTTTTGATATTACAAGTTGAGATTTTTTATTTGTTTGTCTTTATATTTAGTTTATGCACTATCAGATCTATAGATTTATATTAATTTACTCCTTTAAATTATTAGTAAATTCATATCAAGGGACACTATATTATGTTTAAGATACTAAGATATTATGTGTCATATTAAGATTTTTTTATTTATTACTTCACGATTCATGATAATATTATTCCATAGTCGTACGATGACCGTTTACGGTCGTTGTGGTTTAATCATACCATTATTTATTAGGTATCCTGGATGTACATAATATTATGTATGGGGATAAACGCTGAGAAACGATATTCGGTAAATATTGGATTTTGTTTTTGTCTTGTTAATTTTGAAATCTTTATAGACTACCTGGTACATTTTTTGTTTACATTATAATTATTTTATCATTACAGGATGCCGCTGAATTCGCCCCGAGGTTTCCATTTGGGTACCAATAATACTGTCAGTCTTCGTTACCTTCAAGTATGTGCACTTAATATATATGTAGTGTTAACGCCGCCTTATGATCACGGAGTTCGTGATGCAACTTCAAAAGGTAAATAAAAAATAAAAGAAAAAAACAAATATTTTTAAGAAGTATTTTAGGTATGTATTTGTCTTTGAATGTTTCGAATGAGCAGTTATATTTTGTTCTATACCTATTATATTATATTGTTCCTGGAATTAGTTCAAATAATATCAAAACAACATTCGATCAAAATGTATTTATTGATGTTTTAAACTCCAACAATTTCGAAATGTGTTAAAAAGTCACATATTACAATATGTTTTAATTTTCCTACTTTTCATACCTAATTATTGGCCAAGGAGAAATAATCGATGAGTGAATAGAATTTTGTATAATATATACTTATGCTTTGTTGATAACATTTAAAATAAATAATCCAACTTAGAAAATTAATTACATTTTTGATATGACTGTTATTTAATATTTTCGAGAAAATGGTATTTTTCAAATAAAATATATTTTATTTGTTTTTCTGTTGGACAGCTTAATCCTCGTGCATTTTACGACTGAGTATAAACAATTATAATGGAATGGAACGACCATAAATAGTACGTGGATTACCAAAAATTCGATTGAAGACATATGGAAGTGCGGTAACTCGAAGTTATTTATTACACCGTATTGTTCCCCGAGTATGTTACACTCTATGCAAAAGAAAACGGTAATTTTATTCGCCCCGTTCAGTCCTGACAAATTAAGATATAACTTAATCATCTCGTTTGTAGCCCCGGGCCCCGACACACAGTAGGCGTGTTAGTCCTTTTTTTCCTTCCTCTCAACAACTGTTTGTTTATAAAACAATATAATGTCCCGAGGACCGTTATTATTAATGGGAAATTATAATATCCTGTATGCACCTATAATAATAATAATAAAAAAAACGTATTATATAAAATAAATGTTGTACACGAAAAAAACCAACAAAACCCGGATCGGATAGCCAAAAGACAATAGGCATAGGTATATCCACGTTATTTTTTTTCACTAGTCGGTGGTTACGAGATCTATAATGACTCGTTTTGTAAATGGGCAGGCGATAATTCATCGCGGAAAGAATAAATTGACTTTGCATAATATAGGTGGTAATAATTAAATGGCAGTGGTAGGCCTCTGTCGTTCTATTCGTGACGAACCAGCCCATTTAGGTACCTATGTATAATAATATAGGCGTATATATGCCTATATATCCGAGCAGATAATAGATATAGGGATTAAACACATCAATCTGAAGAAATCACAAGCCATATATACAGAAAGTTGTGCCTAATTTTGGACTTGAGTAGTAGGCGAACACGTGGTTAAATGGTTTATTACCTACGGCTAATTGCTTCACACGCATTTATGTCGACAATAGGCCTACCTATATTTATACAAAATAATCATAGACAGTTACCTACATTAATTGTTCTTACCTATTCGTTTTAACAGATTGCTTTCTCGCGATATTTAAAAATATTATATAGACAAGAAACGTAAAACCTACAAAATCGTTAAAAATTATCAAAGTTCATATCTGTTGCTTATTACTTATTCATATTATTATTATAATAGTTACCTATATAGGTACTGAAAAGATAAAATTTAATAGTGAAAGTTTAAAGTAAAACAATCATAATATAGGTAATGGCGTTTTAGGTATTTTTTTTATATATTTTTGAATGATTAAAGAAACGGCACGAACAACGTATTTCCAATAGTAAAAGTCAATGGATATTTTATATTTTTTCTTTAAAATTATTTTTTTGGACGTTAAAAACTTGAGAAGTCACGTGGTTAAATTTACCATTACTCAATAGTCGGTGAATAATTAGCAATTATAGTATGTAAATTATGTTCATTTGTGTATATAGGTACACTCATCGTATATATATATAACTTTTTAATAATATTGATTTATCCAACTTACAAACATATTTTAACATAAAGTAACTTAATAACCATTAAGTATATGGTGGTTTATAATTACCATTTACCATATTATGATTTATGGATAACATTTTGACTTAAATGTACAAAGTGCATTTTAATAATTAATTTAAATAATGCATTGATTTGAATTTTGAATTTAAATTTAGTTTGAAAATTGTCTTAAAAATTAAAAACCCTTAAAAGGATTAAATAAAAATAAACAATACTTTTTTTTAACTTTATAGAACAGAGTAAAATGTAAAAATATAGTTAAAAATCTGAATCAAAAACATTAAAGTTAAGTCTGAGGCTTGCGTTATGTTGAATTACGAAATATAGATCATAGAATTTTACAAATAAAGAATATTATTCAAGATTATAAGACCTTCGAAATTGAATGTGTTGGACTTACTGAATATTACAATAGTTAGGGATATTATAATAATGGATCTCAAGAATGCAGATTTTAAAACCATGTAATACTAGCTAGTAATTATAGTACCTATGTTTTTTTAATAACAATAATAACGTATTAAAAACTAATTATTTTAAAAGAGATATGATAACAATTCAATTTAGATATAGTATATACCGTATATATTACATGTATCGCTGTATATCTGTGTTGTGTTTATATTAAAATTCTATATAATTATTGTATAATATACGTATTAAATATATGTTAGTTATCTATACAATGTCATTAGTTATTAATAATAACTTATTATGTTAACCTATGCATGTACTATTGTAGTTATAGTTCATGTTGGAATTGATTATTATTTTAATTTCATTACTTTTTTTGGATATTACTATTAATATTTATATTATAATTATAATTATTTTGTTTAGTTATAATATTTTATAATTATTTTAACTTAGTAAATTATTTAATTTTTCGATTAAAAAATTATCGTTTGAGCTACCTAACTATTACCAGAAATATCAAGTATTCCATAAATGTATAATAAATAATAATTAATAATATAATATTATCATAATAGGTACTTATGAAACATTTTATTTTTAAGTATAAAGTAACAAATGTACATTTGAGTATATTATATTGAATAATTAGCATATAACTTTAATTATTATAACATACACTCTATAAACACTTAAATCTGCAATGTATTTAAGTATGTGATGATAGTGATACTTTAATTATTTTGTAAAACACTTGTCAACGATTTGTACTGATTTGTTGTGCGAAGGCGGCGTGAAATCGTTATACTCCATTAATATTGTCATCTTTCGATGTCAATAATATATTAATATATTATAACTGTCAATAAATTAATTATTAAATGTCCGTAAGGTGTCGTGGTAAATTGGACTCAAGTGTCATAGGCCAAAGTTATTAATCACAGACACTCGCAATGTCGAAACTATATTATTCTCTTCGCATGGTTCATACAGCGCTGTGTACCTACACGTATTGGATGTATTTATGAACCTGTTTGGTGGTGTGGGGATGATATTAAAATAATAACTATACCGATACATATTGGTATTTGGTACGTGACTTTCAAACTCAAAATTAAATTCAAGGACGATTTAATATAATATATATTCATTAAAATAAGAAGGTAAAACATAGTCATTTGGTCCAACAACTATCAAGATTCGAATTCCAATGGTATGGCACATCAAATATAATACCTATGGTAGTCATACAAAAACATGAATTGCAACAGGCCTATTGTTCCAAAAAATCTTAAGAATGCCATGGTAGGTAGAATTTAAATTATTTTTTAATTTAATAATCGACACAATAAAGCATCAAAGCTTATATTATATTATATTAATCTGGCAAATACGGTTTAAATACGCAAGCCATTAAATTACAAACACAGGTGTGTAGATTTGTCTGCTAATTTAATTTTCGTTATATTATAGTCTTCTAAATATCAATAATTATTGTTCTTATAACTCGATAGATAACCCGCATCTTCGCCGATGACATTGACTAGAATCATTACAATAATTTACCCATATTTGTAAGAAAAATTTTAATTGATAAAATAAAAAGTATAGGTTAGTACTTAGTAGTACTGTAAAAATTTAAAATTGTAGATTTCACTATTTCGAATTGAACAACCTAGCAAAGTGGTAAATTTAAGACCCATATTTTGTCTTTGATTGGATAAAAACAGCAATTGTTTGACAGTTATGAAATTAAACAATAATATCCACATAAAATGTATTTGAAACTGGGTTTTAAAATATAGTTACCTATATCATTTACCTATAATAATGTTACTATTACTTACGTAAACTAGAAAGGGCAAATAAACTGGCTGTGAAGTCTTCGGCCCACACTTCAGTGTTGGACTATTACAACAACCTGTATCGTCAGCGCAAACATGAAGAATTGTACACGCAGGTAAATATTTCTTATTCGAGCTGGGGTATATGTCAGTTACCTTGATCACTTTAGATCTAGGTACTTTGCAAGACGCCTCTTTCGAAATTCTCATTTGATGCTTGTAAGCTTCACCTCCTTCGCTATCACCTGAAAATCGTTTTATATATACATTTAATTTATGGTTAAGTGTGAAGTCAGACAAAAATATAATAATTTAGAGTAGAATAACTCGATGATTGATTTAATTTGGTATTAACTTATAAACATAAATTAAAGACGATAATTATCATGCCAACATATTTATTTGAAAATAGTGATTTATAGTTTATTGTATTGGTATTTATTATTATCTGTGTAAATCCCTAACATATCGCTGATTAGTCTTTTCTTTATTTTAATAATACATAAATTAGGTCATAGCTGCAGTTTTTATAGTAAAATGTCTTGTAAAAAAAAATCATGATACTATAGATGTGAATGTGTGATAGTTAAAATGTATCAGTTTATAAATTGTAAAAGTTTCCATATGGAAACTCAAACATTTCTATAATGTGCCGGCTGTACCTAGCTACATTTCTTTCTAAACAAGTGGAAATTAATTTTTGCTTTTCATATTTACTTATGATAATAATTGTATTACTGTATTACATTTTATAGACTGATACACTTTTTTGGTTGCTATATAATGTACCTAAACCCAGTTATAAATGTTTTTAGTAACTAAAATATTGGTAAAAAAATTAATAGTTTTTAGAGTGTGAGCATAATAGCGTAATAATACGTTCGATATATTTCAAGATATGTGAATAGGAATGCAAAAGCGTCTGTATAACTCTGCAGTGACATGAGAACATAATTCACTGTCGAGTGTTATACTACATAATATAATAGTATAGGTATATATTATGATCAACAATTATCGGCTTTACACTGCACTGTGCGAGTATACGTGCACACTGAACGGTGATTATCACGTATTCACGTTTTGAGAATAATAATGCTAATGTAATGTAAATAAATGCGATTTGTGCAAGTCGGGTTCCTTTCCACGTTCGATTTAAACGAATGAGAGCATGACTCTTACCAAACGAGAATCATCCATGTACCCTACAACTTAATATTATACAGTATACCTAATAATAAAATAATAAATAATATATAATAATAATATAAATGTGTAATACCTTGCCCTTGCAACACATTAATTCTGTGTGAACTACGGAAAGTTTCTTCCACAGCCTTCCTAGAACCGAGAAATTTCCATTTATTTTCTGATAGCGGTGACATGGTTCTTGCTGGTTCGTGTTTCTGTATGTCCTGAAAAATCCGGTAATTATATATTTATATATTAATATTAGTATGTATCAAGAATCAATATTATAGTCTATATGCCCTATAGTTACATTAAATTTAAATTTAACGTTTTGTAAACTGTTTGGTATGCCTAAATAATAGCAACATATTATATTATTATGGACATCAGAACATAGCGAGGTTCTATAGTAAACATTTACTTTGTAAGAAGCAAATTAGCAAATAGATAACATTTTTAAAAATAAAATAAATTATTATATTAAAACATCTGAACATAACGCAATGTAATATAGTAATATGGTGTGTATAATATGGTAAATAATGTAATATGGTAAAATTATCCGCGTAATGTATTATTATTGAAAATGGCTTCTGTTTTTGGCAATCTAATTAAAAACTGCCGTGCCCTTCACTCATTTTTAAATATTTTACTCGCATCGCGGCAATTAATTTTTAGTCTTATTGGACTAAATAATATGTATGTTGTGTTGCGTGATTGGAGGATGCAGGGAGGGTTATTATAGTAAAAACAGACAGCCATTTCCACCACTTAATAAGACAATTAACTTGTAATTAATAATACTTGTTCAATACTCTGTTATTATATTTAATATATATAACCAATTAAGTATAGATTAACCAAACACCACGTATGAATGGTACAAATAGTTACGCAATTTTAAATACAGCCTAGTCTCAATATAACTCTATAATCTCAATAGAAGAATAAAAATAAATTCGACTTATGTTTTTTTCTAGTTGCATATTTTAAATACAACTTATAAACACTTCAAATAAAAAAATATTGGAGTTATATTGAGGTTTTCGAATTATCGAGACTCGGCTGTATTACATTTGACATTCACTAATAAAGATTTCTCTCGATAATAATTTATGTAGGTAGTAAAACGCCGTCCGCAAAAATACAATATAGTGGTATACTAGATGGTATACATTACTATTTTATATGTATTCAAAATCAACATCATTTGTATTTAAAAAGGATTTTGAACAGAGTTCAATCAAAAATTGTTAAAATAAAAAAACAAATAGTTACTTATTATGTTAACTTCTTTTAACTAGATAAATTGTTGTCATACATTTTTGCAAATCCTCAAAAAGTATTGGGAAACTAAAAAAAAGTCATATTTGTATGTAATATTACCAAAGTAAAATTTGTGGTTTATTTATTGTCTTTATGAAACTGTATAAAAGTATAAAACTATATTGAAGCTTATAATAGTTATTAGACAAACCCACATCTCAAATAGTGCTTAATACTTATGCTTAATTAGTTATTTATATCAACTATATTTGCCTACAATAAACCCATCAAGACATGATTAAAAAATATAATATTCAAAATAATACATCGATATTTTTGTCAGTATACCTAACCATTAAATTTGATTACGCGTGGTTTTAAAAATACGAAATTATGAAATAATAATACGTGTTATAAGTATGTAGCTATATTATTTTATCACATCCGTGTGTTCTACGCATTATTACGTAATATTTGTTTTTTGGGACGTTAATTAACTTTAAAGTGCAAGCCACTGAAGACATCAATGAAGACGTCGACATCTGTTGCCGTTTTTATTTGCATCCAAACTGATAATTAAAATATAATTATAATATTATTATGTAGGTACCTAACCTATTTAGGCATTACAATATATATTGTATACAGTGAACGCGATCCGACCGGACGTCGTCTCCCACATTATTATTTTACTCACAATTTTCAAGACAACGCACATAGTATGTGCTTGGCTCATTATAGGCTTAGGCAAATGGCTCTTTCGCAAAATAGACTCAGGAGATAAGTGTAACGATCCGTGTTATCATATAGGTACTTCGTACCTGTAATTTCGATGTTTCCAAGCGTACATTTTGACTTTTTACGATTTGAACGGATCGGCAGACGCATTCGACATTTCGTCCGAGAAACCGATCATCAGATTTAAATCAAAAATATATATTGTTTTGGCTCTATTATTTAGATTATCTTTGCGGTTATAGTTGGTAATACTAAGGCTCTAATAGACACGGGTAAAGACAGTGGCCATTTTCTTTTAGCTGATAAATGATAATAGATAGTCATGTATTTATTAAATTTGTTTTGTGAAATTGAATTTTAGTAATTAATGAATAAAGGTAGGAAAATATATATTTGAACGATTATTAACGATTTTCATAGACGTACTTGTTTTGATAAATATTTCATATTTGTATAATTTGTATTAATTCTGTATTAATTCCAATTGGAAAGAAAATGGCGGCTTTCTTTGCCTCTTCTTAAAGAGCCCTAGTACCTAATACCTATCAGGTTTTACCGCGGTCATAATCGCTTTCAGTTTTTTCTCCGAAAGTCGCTTATTATTTATCAAAAACAATCATATGATTCACCCGACAAGTTATTTAGGTACCTATGTAATAATATGCGAAAATTAAACACTTTCGTCCATTTTTACTTTTCTGAAAAACTTGTACAGACGCGCAGACGATACGTACGCGGACGTAACGATCAACGATCATGTTATTATGTTTTAGTGCAGCGGCGCAGCGTCATCGTCAGGTACCGTTCGCTCGGCACGAACTATAATATTTTATGTATCTATAATATACAATATAACATGCACATCCAACCGATAACTATAATAATAATGTTACTGTGCGTATACCTGAGAGCATGAGAGTGTGTGTGTGTAATTCGGTGTTTTTAGATGGATTTAGGACGAACGTCTGTCGTGTAAAAATACACACTCGCGTGTGTTTGTCTGTGCATAAATGCATAATAACCCACGCCCGCGGTGTGTCGGCCACACGAGAATCCGTGAGCTAATATATACAATGGGCCTATTGTGGCGCCTACGCCTCGTCGTCGTGTGAACGCTCGCGCTTATCTTCGTCGCATTGTAATTTCCTCGCCGATTTATTTATTTTCATTTTTCACAGACACGCGTACAACACGCACACACACACACACACACATTCAAATATTAAGCATACTGAATTAGGTTCAATTATGACATTTGCTTTTTTTTTTTTAATATTATTAGAGGTTTAGTTCAAACGCATATTGACGCGTTGCCCATTTTCTCGGACAAAATATACTACTATAATAATATATCATATTATCATATTATTATTATTATTATGTAGGTACCCTATTACTTAATATTATATATATTTTATAAAATCTCCTCCGTTCTGTATTGCGACGACGACAGTGATGATTTAATAGATATTTCACTCGACGCCCACATATTAGAATAACCGCGGTATATGACGGAAGCGGAAAAATATTTTTTAATTTTATTTCTAATAGAAAAAAAAATATATATTATAATTACTATTGTTATTATTATTATTATATGAATATCTAAATACGTATATTTCATAACCTGAATATTAAATATAAACTAATAACGATCATAATAGTAATATTCCATATTTTGTGTGACCTATACCTATATAATATATTGTGTACTTACCTAATACCTATATAGGTACCTAATATAAATAATACTTTGTACATGTTACAACAAAGATCTCGATGTCGTGACTTATCATAGTGAGAGAATATATCCATCTGAGATGTAATTTATAAAAAAAAAATATAATGATTTATTGGCCCCCACCTATATAATATAGTTGTAGACCTTGCAATATTTTTAGGTATTACAAATGAAATATGAATGTATTTATATCTAAACATAATTAATACACACAATATGATAGGTACATGCAAAGAAAACAGAATTTCTGGTCATCAACTCGCGATACTTTATAGTTTATACCACACTTTAAAATGTTTTTAATACCACCTAAATAGAACAATGCTATAATAAATGCATAAAATAGTCAATTATACAACCAATTACCTACTTGTGGAACAGATTAAACTTCTTTAATAAATTTGTGATTTTCACTGGTGTTTGAAGAAATATTAAAAGAAATAGGTATAAAGGGCTAAAAACAAAAAATTAAAATAAATCACAAGTCCGTTTTAAAAATCTTTAAAATATGTATCTACTATCTACTTATTTTTGTTTTGATTTTCTTAATTTATATACCTATATTGTCTTAATAATGTTAATAATTTAATACCTATTTGTTTTGTTTCAAATAATTAAACGATAACAATTAATGATTATTATTTATTATTGGTACCTACTACGAATGCTATCTACGAAAAATAATTATATACGGTGCCTACAAATATATGTTTTCATGCATTAGTATATATTATTATAATATAAATTATAATAAATTAATATAGGTAAAGTATGATTTATTAAGAGTTGTAGGACGTAGGTATTAAATTGTTTTAAATTTATAGGTATTTTGTTCTTTTTTATTAGAAATTGATAACATTGTTAATTAATTAAGTTAATTACAATATTATAATTTTATATATTAAAATGATATAGGTACCTACCTACCTACCTATAAACATGCAAATGCTTAGTTCAATAGGTCATCTCGTTTAGCATTCATATTTCATTAACTAATGAAGTATCAATCATCTGTATGATACATTTTCAAATATGATAAAAGTGTCTTCTATTAAAATATAATAGATTATAGACTACAGTCCATTAATTAAAAAGACGCATTAAAAAGTATTAAATTTGCAGATTAATATGTTAATAATAATAATATTACAATGAAACATAATATCAGACACATTATGTCATATTTGGTAAGTCTTCCTGGCTCCTAAAAACAAAAATTTTTAATGTGAACCAATTCCACTTTTTTGCACCTACCTGATTTGTAACCATTTTTAACCTACATTTATTTCTGAAAAATCAAGTTTTTAATGCAACTTGTCTTGGCACCAGCATAACATTGGAATTTGTCCTCTGTCAAAATTATAATTTATTATTGGTGGTAGGACGACTTACCTCCTAAAATACTGATATACGGTTCTATACAATAATGGGTTCTTTGTAAATAATATTAAGTGGTCTGCACTTATCATATATTAAAAT